GGTCCCTCCTCCCTCCTCCTCCATGTTCTACAACTGCCACAAAAGTCACCTTTCTTTCTCAGCCAGGGAATCCCCCTTGACTTTGTGCACCCAGAAACCAGGGCAAGGAGCGGCAACCTCTTTCCACAGCATCATGATATCCCTGCCCTGTATTTACTGCCATTGTTTCAAGGCGAAGCAGGCAAACCAAAAGAAGCTTTTGTTCAAGAGACAGATGTGCCAAGAGAAGATGCAGACATGGTTGTTCCCCTTTCACACCTAAAGCAAAAGAATATACCTAGTCTGTGTCTGGGGGATCACATCTGGCACTTATTCACATGAAGCAGCATCACAGGACAGAAAAAGAAGATACAGTACGTGCCTCCAGCCATTAAAAACCACTTGTACATACACATGCTCTTATACTATATGGTATATTGTATATAATATTTGGTACAGAATGTTTACTATGTTGTATAAATTACATAGTATGTAAATATATTTAACTGATTCAATTGAACTGCACCTTGGAAACAGATTTCTCAGCACCTGAACAGCTAGGACCTGGCCCAGGGCCAGGATTCCTTCACATCTGAAAAAATGAGAGCTGCTTTAGTTCTTTGGAAAATTCTTCATTTCTACCAAATGACCACATCACAAACCCTCCTGATAGGGTACCACACTCACCACATGAAAAAGATGCAGATTACTGGAAAATGCCAAAGGAGTTCCACCCACCCCCTTCACTGAATAAGAAAAGGTCAATGGAATTGCAAGGGGTTTTTCCAGCAACCAGACAACGTGACTGAAATCCTGTGGGCACGTCTCCTCCTGTACCCCACTGTGTTCCTGGCATCCAGAGGGAAAAGTGTTTTTCTAATCAGCATGCAAGGCAGGTGAGCTGTGGCTGAAAGATGATTGCTTGCAGCCCCCCCACAAATCCCCAGTATCAACAGTGTTAAAATAATACAAACATCATTAGTGACAAAGACAGATTCATTGCCTCCAGCCAGACTATGCTTGTTAAAGGAGTTTTGTACAGCTCCATAGCTGGATATGAATTCTAATAAAGTTTGTTTAAAAATGTGATGGTATTCCAAAAGAAAATGTGCAAAACAGGCAGTTGTGATTTTAACAAATCTACTCCTTGTAACTCCTCAGAGACCTGTGGGTTTGATGAGAAAGGCCCTTTTTCCCTTTTTTTGAACACCTCTTACAGACAACACAGAAAGTAGGATTCTTTCCTTATTCCCACTCCCAAACATTTTGGGTCTACTTAAAAGATGCAATTATTATGTACATGTGCATATACTGTGAAGTTGCCCAGATATGCAGCATGCATAAACCCATGGAGAAAACTTATTCACAGTAATGAGGCATAACTGTGCTCTAATCCCAGAGGGAGAAGCTTCCTTGACTTCCTTCACCAGAAGGTCATGTTCACTCTGAGATGATGCTAGTGGAGCTCCCATCAGTGTTAGATTTTATTGAAAAGAAACAGAGTGAATCTGAACTGATAGATATCCTGGGAACTTTTCCAGGATATACAGTAGCTCTGGAAAAGTAGGGCCATTTATTTTGTGTTTGCCCTCAGATGCAGAAGGTATGAACATAAATGGTAATTATGAAAGAAAAAGTGAAAAAAAAAAGAAAAAAATAAAAGACAATGACAATGCCAAGCTCAAAGAATTTTCTCTGAGGAGAGATGCTCCATCCCTCCTTTTGAAAAAGACTCTCGGTTTTTGTCCCAGCCATGGATTTTATAGGAGGACAGAAACCACCACCTTTAGTTGAAAATGAGAGACTCTGGGTTTTGGTGTGGATGTTTTCGTTAGAAGTAACAGGGCAAAAAAAAAAAAAAAGAGATATTCCCTTAGCAATTTAGCAATGAACAGCCAGATGGATACTGCACCATGGCAGCTCAGGTGTTGCTTGGCAGGAGCTGCAGTTTGGAAAGATAAAGCCATGGCTGAGCAAAAGCTCCTACACCTCAGGGCCACCCATACTCTGCCCAAACTGCAGGACAGTCCTGCCATTTCCTGTGATACTGGAGAGCAAAGTACAGGACAGGATGGATCAACAGCTTAGCTGAGAAAACTTGTGCACTTGAGAAGCTTCTGAGGGAACAGGAGGTTAAAACTGACCTTAAGGGTTCTCCATATGGGCTACAGGTACTCCCAGCCTTCGAGCTTGGACCAAGCATAGTGAGTAACATATGAAATACACAGTGACATCACTAAATAGGAAACATAGTAATAAACTCCTACATGTTTCTTTATACTGTTTTGGAGGGTGTACTTAAAAGATAGAAAGATGCATTGCTGCTATTTTGATTTTTTGTCAGGAGGGGTGTGTTTCACACTTCAGAGACGCTACAGAAGCAATTACAGTGGCAAATAAAACTATTATTAAAACCTTGACGTTTTTAACTGCTATTTGCGTGTAATCACTCTTAAATAAATGAAGGAAAAGTAAATGCTAGGAGAATAATTTGCTGTTAATCAAGACTAATAAAGTGAACGGCTTAATTTCCTTTCCAGACTTGTCTGATTTTAATCTTGCTGAAGTTTGGCAGTAGGAGAAAGCAAAAAACAAAGTTATGCTGTGATGGTGTGTGTGCAGTAAGAAATTCTGGAGTCTCACTACTGTTCTTTTTCTCTACCTTATCTTTTCCCAGGTCTAACGCAGCTGATCTGTTCAGGTGTGCATTTTTAAACACTAGGATTGGTAGTAACATAATGCTGAAGACTCTGAAATTCAGGACACTTTGCCTTTATCCTAAAAAACCACCATTTCTTTCCAGAAACTGGGCTCTTCTCCAAGAAAAAAGTTCAAAATATTTTGAAGTCAGATGCAAAGAGTCTCACTGATTTTGATGTAGTTCATTTCACCCCTGCTCCCTACCTCTAACCACCTAGATTTCAGACTTTCACTTAACAGCGGGATCATAATCTATTTATAGATCTGTAGAATATGAAAATGGAATCAACCTCTTTTTTGTAACCTGGTTTTAATTGATTTTGTTAACTGAAAGAGTGAGATTTTCCTCCTTAGGAGCTCCTATTGGGATCTGAGCAAAAATCCTATTCCAAGGTTATAATGTTAGTGCAGTATTTGACATAAAAAGCAGAAGTGGTCACATGGCTCAATCCTATTGAGTTCCTGTAATGATATCCCTGTGTACAGCAGTGATGAAGGCACATGACTCTGTGTAACCACAGGCAAAACATTTATGAACGGGTGCTTATTATTCAGTTCTACATTGTGCATCTAATAATTTCTGAATGGATAAGAAAATTCAATTCACTCCAGTCACAATACATTGTTGCTGGTAAAATTGAATATAGCTTCAACAATGACAAGAGAATTGCCAGTAAATATATACTGGATGTAAGCAAAGGTGGAAGAAACTTCCGCAAATGTTGCACAGTATTTTAAACAAGCAAAGTTTGATTTTGATAATGACTCTACTCACAAAGCACCTCATTCTTTTAATTTATCCTGTTATTAGCCCATTCAGGAGGAATGACACTGGCAATAAAATAGAAATCACAAACATGAGATGTTCCATGAGAGCCCTACAGCAACACCTCTGAATCCCTCCTCCCTGTTTTCCTTTACCATCCCTACACCTCTGCATGCTCTCTCCCAGCAGGGCTGGGCTGGGCTCACTCCAGCTCTCTCACTTTTGGCCATGTAAGTGAGGACCTGCGCTGCACCATTTGAGACTGATTTGTGTGAGAATCCCAATCAGTCCTGTGCAGAATGGTTGATAGACCTCACAACTCCAGTTCCATCTGTGTTGCATACCAAAGGCCAGAGACAGTAAGGTCTGGTATCCAAAACCTTCATCTGCTCTTTTTGGCACTTGTTCCACACCATCCTAAGTACTTATCCTCACAGGCCTGTCCATGAACTGTCCCATAGCTCTGTAGTTCTATTCTTCTCATCTCCTACTCTTTCACCCACATTTTGCTGCCTTTGGTGTCTCAGGGGTTTCCAAAATACCTGTCATATATGTCAGGGCTTGTTCCAGGGCCAGATACAATAGTGCTGCTGGCAGGTTAAAGAAGGGGGAGGAAAGGCTGTGCTGTGACATGACAGCCCTGTCCTTATTCCATCCCACAGAGCAGTGCAAAGACATTGAACAGGAGGAAAGGTGAGGTGATTTTTCTCTCAGATTCCTGTGTAAATCCGTTTTGTGTCACCTCTTTCAGAATTTGGAATGCACAGAAAATGAAATAGAGGGTGGAAGATCAGTATGTGGGAACTCTACCTAAATCTACCTCTACCCAAAGCCTAAGCAGAAAGCTCTTCATCTGCTTCTCCATTTTAATTTCCAGGTTTCTGTGAATACATTCACCAAATAAATTTATGAGAGGGGAGGAATAAGTTTTTAATCCCTTTTAGTGAATACTTCCAGGGAAAAATTTCATATTCATCCTGTTCTAACCAGACATTTGATGTGGCTCCAGTTGGAACACACACACTTGTAACTGTTGCACCAGGGTCTGGCTTTCAGTAGTGTGATATTTGCAATGGTTGGCTTGGACTCCATCTGGAGGTGGTGAATTATTCATAGAAATCAAATGGGAGACACTTGTAAATACAAAAAAAAGACATCTCTCCTTCTTTGAAATAGACAGTTTTCAAGGATGAGAACTTAATTTCAGAGTAATAAGGAACTCAATTCTCATGTGTGGTTTAGCCCTCACTTTTCCCCAGTACCTTTCCCCAAATTGTTGACAGTAACCTGGGAAGAAAAGGAAAAAAATTTGAAAACACAGCCTATCACAGCTCAGTGTTTCTCTGCACTGTCCTTTGCTAAATCTCTGGCATACCTCAGGAAGGAATTTAATCTCTACAATAATTGAAATCAGTTTTATTCTAAGAAGCAAAAAATGTAATAGTTTGTTTTTGGGGTTTTTTTTTGTTTGTTTGTTTTTACTATTATCTCTCCTTGTTTTCTAGATTCCTATTTGGAAAATTTAATGGAAAAAAATTTACCTTAATGAAAAAAACCCAAACACACAAGCTCCAAATACTACTCGTTGGTTCAGACTGGTTTTGGAACTACACATGTTGATTGCTTGAAGGGTTTGGTTCTTTCAAAAAATTCTTTGCCAATCTTGGATCAATGATGAGTTTCTGTTAAATCAAGATTTGAGAAAAATAAGAAAAGCATAGAGAGGGGAAACTAGAGTGCAAAATGACTGTCTAAGTGATAAAGCTGTCATACCACTATCCAGGGTGGGTGTCAGGAGTTTGCCAAAGACAGAAAATTGGGCCAGCAGCATTGAACTCTACAGTCTTACTGAAAAAGAGTCTTGGTGCCATTCAGATGATGCTGGCATTTAAAATCTCTGCACTGAAACAGTTTTTCAGAATGTTGTTCCTCTTGCATCTCAGTTTTATCTTCTCCTTTACCCTATTTCTCAAACTATTAAAGTTAATTCAATTATTTTTCAGCAGCACCCTCCAAGACTGATAACTTTTTACAAATTACCACCTTTGAGAGATACAAAAACTTCTGTGCAAGCATGTAGTGAGTTTCCCAGCCCAGCAGTCATTCGAGGAGGTCATTAAAAAACAATCAAAGGTGACAACTCTTCAACAAATTCAGTCTTCCTTCTGATTTTTGTGGCCATAGCACCTCTTCTTCAAATCTTACCATCTTTATAAAAATGATACTTACAGGTATTACTCCAATTTTGGAGCTAAATCTAAGTTTTGTGACAAGCCTTTGCCAGATGATTCAGAGAGACTTTCAGCTAAGCCAATGTATTTTTATGCATGTATTATATTCTTTTTGGTCTGGATAGGCTATGGACAGTACACAGAACAGCTAATAACATCTCATGTGTAAACAGGTTTTTATCTTGTCATCTCTCCTCTTTTCTTTATCAGCAATGACAAACCCCATGATTAAATTAATATTTCTACTGAACACAACTTCATCTTGTGCAAGCAGGGACAGTAATATTGATATTGAAACCCAAGCCAAACCTGGGGTGAATTTTTAAGTTTGGCACAACCATTATGACCTTCTGCAAACACATAAATTCTTATATAGATGGAGTGCAAGAACAAGGGATGGCTCTTAACACAGGCATAAGCACCTCCAGGAAAAAGCTCTGCATCTGCAAATGGAAACTGGAAGTGCTTGTGAAACAAAACCCATAGCAATTATATACTTTACAATTGTTCTTTCACCTCTTGTTTTGTTCCTGTAAGTTCTTGTTTCACTGGGTTCGCTGCTGGGGCTGCAAAACAGTACTCATGTACAAACAACCAGTCACTGGAATTATTATTTTATTGTACAGGGAGAGATCCCTTAATTTAACCCTGTTGCAAATAATGTTGGCCTTCAGATTTTCATGTTGACTGCAAAGGGAAAGCACTTTTGTCAGCTTTTTCTGAGGAAAGCAGTGGGAAATATCCCAAACTTTTCAACAAACATCCTGGGAGCTGTCCAAGAACTGTGGCACTTGAGTCATTATAGCTACTCAGCTTACCTGGATTTGGACTCACATTTTTCCTAGCTGGGGCTTGTTTGACAGACGTTGAGGGCAGAGTGAAGGGTGCAGCTTTGTTCTCCTTCCTTCTGAAGCTGAATCACTGTGTAGCCAAGGGTAAACAAAGTAGACAATCAAGAGCAATAATCCCTGGGTACTGGAGGCAGTCTGAGTTTGCAGGGTACATTTCAGGCACTGCCAAGCTTGTAGCACCCTGGAAAGCAAATAGCATGTTTAAACATCAAGATTGTTGGGCTACAAAGTGAATAAATATGTATTCTATCTGCTGTCTTGTATATAGGTAGACTGCAGTGGTTCTTCAGGCACTGTGTGCTTCAGCAGTGGTACTCCTTGTCATGGAAAACTGGTTAGTGAGACCAGCTTCAAAAGCAACTGTACAAGCTCTTGTGTAGAAATCCTTTGAGAGCTTTGAAATAGGAAGATAATCTTTCTGTCTCAGGAAGTGCCTGCACTGTCATCACTAGAAGATAAGATTTTCTGCCAGCAGTATCCTCAGCTCACTGTCCTTATTCATATCTGGGCATGGGGATTGAGGGAAAATACCAGATTAGATGTCCTTGTTTTCTTGGTATGCTAATTCTTACATTTTCTAGTACACCAACAATACCATCAGGTGGTATCTAGGAGCACAAAATCAATCGCATAGTGAACTGGGTTAGAACAGAGTTTGGATCTACAAAAAAGCCCTTGGGACACCTCTGCTCTCTTCCAACACCCAGCCCCTCTACCAAGCCTGACCCAGCACCAGTGCTTTTGGAAAGGCTGTTTCTGGGTTTAGCCCACACAGCTGAGCTCCCTTTAGCCCTGCCCATGAAAGTCAGTTACCACAAGCTCCTGTCTTGCTTTTCAAGCATTTTCCTGCTCCTTGCTGGTTTTCCTTGGCGTGGGCATTCCAGCAGAGATGAGGCAAACACTAGACATGTGGCTGCTGTGCTGGCACTGCCAAAAACCACATCAGTGGAAGATCCAGAGAGCAGATGCAGCCCAGCAGGCCTGTGCACTGCCTGCACAGGGCTCTCCATGCTCAAAGCAGTGCCAAGTGCCTCAGCAATGGGTAATGGGCACCATGCGCTCCAAACAGACAGCCACAAGCAGAGACAAACTGACAGCACATCCAGGCATTCAACATGAGCCTGGTGTGGGGCACTCATCCTAGCCAGATGACTCAAAACAGATGGCCAGAGCTGCAGATCTTTGTTTTACACGTCTTAATTACACACCATGTTTACTGACCCTGTTGGAAAGGCTCTCTTTTAGGAGCTTTCCTGTGTGCACAAAACAAGGTTTTACAAGAGCTGTCAAACATGTGACAGGGGAACAATTGCCTTATGGAAAGAAGCAGCTAATTTCTCTGTCTTTGGTAGATTATGGTTATATAGGAGGGGACTGGACTATAATTAATCAGATTAAATTCAGAACAGACACATGCCAGAGAAAGGCTGAAAAGCAGTCTCAGTGAAGTGCAGAGAGGAGGAGCCAGCTGTGCAGCTCAGGCTCTGGGGATTTTTGCTGGACACAGCAAAATGGAATGGGAATCAGTAGCACATTGCTGTCAGAAGGGCAGACCAATTTTTGAAAAAGGTTTGTGGCCATCATCAATTTGAAGGTCCAGGAAGATGGCCTCTCTGTACTTAATAACCTTTACTACACCTTTTTTCCCCTGTTGATGATTTTGCAAGACCTGAGATGTAATTATTCCAAAACCCTAATGAGGCAATTTGGTAAGGTGTAATTTTATACATCCTACACAAACAGACATTTAGAAAAAAATGGGGAAAGTCCAAAGGAAAGCAGTATGGGTAATAAGTGGTTGAGGAAACATGACCTAGAGAGAAAGGCAATTGAAATTAGGCCTATTTAAACTGAGAAAGCAAGAGAGGTCTATAATGATAGTTTTCTACACTGTCAAATGCTCTTAATGGCACAGGCAGAGCTTAGCTGTTTTTTGAAGGTAATAGCACATGAGGTAATCAACTCAATTTGTTAGTAGGACATCACAATGTAGGATTGAAAAATTAGTAATTTTACATGCAAACTTGGAGGGGGGTTTTAAGACATTAAATTTTAAGTTAGACCAAACAAAAACATGGTATGATCTAAGGACTGGGGTTAACAAGCACTGTCCAGCTCTGATATTACCCCACAGTACAGCAAAGGTATTTTTACATCACTGCTATAACAAAAGTCATGCAGGAAATCAGGACAGGAAATTTCAGGAAGTACTTATTTCTGGTATTTTCAAATTCCCCCCACTTTTTACAAAATCGTTCTTGTCATGGAATTGTAGCAGCTCTCCACGTCAAGGGGGAATATTAGAATGAGATGTTTTAAGGATGAACAAAGGAGGCAGCTTCAGTTCTGGCATCTTAGGCCTGAGCTTGCCTGTGCGTTGCTTTCTTGCTTGCTCCAGGGGTTAATGAAGTAATTTTTACAGAAAAGCATGTTTCACAATTATCAAGGTGCTGGATTTCAATCATGCATGCAATCTACTGTCAGAAGGGATCTTCATGTCTATCTGGTTCCACAACAGGCCATTTCATTGACCAATTTTTGCTCAATGCACCTATTTTAGTGGGTTTTAAAAAAATTCTTCAGTGTATTTGGCCTTGGACAGCTGCAACTTCTTTTGCTGAACATCAGAATATTTAATTAGAGAAAGAGACTGGGCAGGTGTTCCTGTGCCAATATTGGGTCCATATTCAAAGTGGCAGATCTTGAAAAGCAACCAACAGACACAGAAATAAGTGGAGAGAAAACCATGGACACATATTTTGTGTCCCTTCCACACACCCTGAGATCCTCAAGCAGGGGAAATATTCTTCTCAGTACATTAGCCACAATGCATCCTGGTTCAGATAAATGAAAAATTTATTATTAAAATTGTGTTCCTCATTTGAATTAAAAATAAATAAATAAAATGAAAGAGCCTTAGATCTAATAAGCCTCCACACATTTATAATATTCTCATTTGGAAGTTACAAGGCAAGTAAGCTGGAGATGAGCTAAACATGAGAACAAATAACCATGAATGAAATGTTAAGAATTTGAAGCCAAACCCATTTGCTAAAAAGCATAAATAGAACATCAGTTTGATTGGTTAGATGCCAAATTAAATGTAAAAAAGAGACTAACAAAATCAGAGCACAAAATGTTATTAGGAATTAAGCTAAGAGAATGTATATGTGAATATTTTCTTACATTCATAATTAACACAGGCCTATTTTGGGAGGGAGAGGGGCAAGTTTGAAGGGCAGGTGGCAGGTTTGCAAATCAAAACAGCAGGATGCTGTGGTCAACACCTAATGAAAGTAAAGAAATAATGAAAAAAGTTTATTTTTCTGGTCATGTTTGCAAGAGAAATGAGCGCTCTAGCCAAGTTATATTGTGGAGGATTTAAATGGTGGAGCAGGGGATTAGATGCAGGGAGAAAATCTCCACTTGCTTTTCTGAAGCACTGTGAGAATATGCCCCAAACCCATCTAGCTGCATGTCTGGGTGTCACTGGAGGGGTGGTTCTGGAACATCTGGAGAACCCTCTTGAAGCAGTCAGAGGGTTCCCCTTTCCACCCCAGCACTGAGGTGACAGACTTTGGAGCAGATGGTCTCTGACTCTTTGCAGGGATGCTTTGGGGAGGCAGCAGTGGGTGATAGTTGGCCATCAAGGAGACTGACCTGCTCCTGGACAACGCTGGCACTTCATGGAGTGGGTGATGCCATCAGGTTTCACACCCCTTTCTTCTCCCTGCTGGCAAAGGAGTGCAGATGATGTGGAAAGGAACAGCACCTGGGAGCACCCTCACCTTTTCTGCCACAGCAGGAGCCTCCTTGGGCTCCTCCTTTACACTTTCAGAACTAGAACAATTGCTTTCAGAAGTGGGTGAAGCTGTGAGAAAGGCAGAAGATGGCACAGAGTGGGTTATCTGTTTCTGACACAGAAGAGAGAGACCCAAGACAGATTTCTGCAGAAAGGGAGCTCCTCCAGACAAGAGTTAAGGGGGCTAAGTGCTCTCTAAATCTTTGTCTCATCAATATGTAGCAAAGGAGCAGAGGCCAACTCTGCTGTCTCATGTCAAGGAGAAGAAAAGGATTTCCCTGTACTTTCTGGAGTCCACTTGTCCATTTTTGCTTTAATATCTCATCATTTAAAGAATTCATTTTGCAGGCTGCATTCCTAGTGGTCATGGAGAAAACTCCCAAGAAAACCATATCAGAGGCCACTCTTTTCCTGTCCTACAGCATGAATTGTTAACACAATATCTGTGCAGACATGTACAAGACTTTTATAGAGTAAGAATATTCACACATGGTGCTATCCAGAAGCAAGTGGCTGATCCTGAGTCAGTTATTCCAGCACAACTTGATTTTGAGACAAGATCTTCAGGACAGAAAACCTGTCATCAAGGAGACTTCAATACAGATGACTGAGAACTTTTCCCCAACCATTTCCTTGATTAAACAGCATTTCCATTTTAAATTGGATGGAAATCCAGAATATTAAGCATTTCGTTTTTTGACATAAACTCGGCATTTTTTCACCAAAAGTGTTTTGATTTCTGCTGATTATAGATCCTTCTTTTCAGTAGAATTAAGGGATCTGTGCCCAGGGTGTGCTGCCTTCACCTCTGTGACAACCTTTTATCACCTGGGAGGATCCACACAGCAGGCACTGTGAACCAGGACCCACGGCCAGCTCAGCTGACAGCAGGGCTGTGGCCAAACAGAGAAAATGCAGACCTGTAAACAAAGAGACAGAAAGCTTTCTGATTTATCCTCTGTGCCCTAGCAGGGAGGCTTGGTTACTACTGAACTGTCCTACTTTTGTCATGTGGCTGGGAGTAATTAATCTTAAGAGCATGGTTTGACTGATGTGGCTTGTCTGTGCAGCTTAGATTAAAGGGAGGAAGGCAAGGTACAGCCAGTGGAGTGGCTACAGGACTCCTAGATGCTCACAGAGCAGTGCAGTAATATCTTGGAAATCTCTGTTTAAGAAGCCTAAGACTTCAGAGGAAGAGCAAGCAAAAAAAGCCCTCAAAGTCTTATTTTAGACACATGAGGAAACATTCCACAGGACTGCCCATGCCATTTTGAATTAGCAAGTTGTTCTCAAACAAGGTGTAATGGGAAATAAACCTTAATGAAAGCAAACAGCACCTTGTGTTTCACAGCCTGTCACTTGTCTTGCGTACCACCCCA